ACAATCTACAGTCAACACAATCTATACATCACATAACCATATCACATAAATATGGTGCATGCAAGGGCCACAGGGCACGCACCATCATACAACACATAGTAAGCTAACTCCAACAGTAAGGTCACTTACCTCGATGGTCTTGGTTGAAGTCACTCACAACGAGCTAATCCCAACGGTTAAATACGTCCTATAATAACCACATAAAAGCTTAGGAGCCTTTCATAACATACCCTAGCTAAATCTCATGCTATTTATCAAACTAAACTTCCGACCTAATCTGTCTTTAACGTTTAGGAACCATACTGACCTCGGATGGTAAAACTAAGGGCAGAAACAGCTTCGGAAGAGCCAAAAACCTTGGAATCGATATATTATAGTGATATATTGTCGCTAAGCCTAGTTGCCGAGCCGGCCAACTAAGCCGCCAAGTTGAGGTGCGGGAATTGATGAAACCGAGTCGATATCGTACACGTGCGAGCCGACCCGCACTGTGTACGCGTGCGAAGCTGCCGGAGCTGCTGGGTGTGCGTCTGCGGCTCGATCCTATTCCAAAAACCTTGCCTTCCTTACCCGATTCGTCCTCCGAATAGCAACCCTAAGCTTCCGGAGGAAAGCTTGGAGAGAAAATCGTTTTCAAGGGAGGTAAAAGGTTGGGCATAGGAATATAAAAATAATCCGAAGACAATTGCATTCAGGGTTGTAGGATAAGGAAACTCAGAGAAATAGGAATGTTTCTATCAGGTAATAAAAGTCCAACACGAATCCTTTCGTGCAGATTACATTTAATTATTTATTTTATTTTTAGGTAATAACTTCCTTGTTGAAAATTGCACCTCAGGAGATAATAAATGCATAACATAATATCTTGTCATTTATAGAAATAAAAATAAAATCTTAACCAATCAAGGCAAAAATGAAAAATCTGAATCGTTGCATTCAACCTATCACATAGTAAGACCACTTACTTGGTTGGCCTTAATGCCGACATTCTCCCTAAATTTGAGTACGTTTGCTTTTCATCCTTCAAAATTTCTCTTGGCATTATTAGTTGCGTTTCCTATTAGAATGTCCATCTTGTTTCGTTAGAAACTAAAATTTTTTAACTCTGTTTAACATAAATCGAAAAAGTGAACCTTATACTGAATTTAATTTCCATAAACAAGGTCAATTTCAGCTTTAGGATAGTTGGAACCGTAAAATTGGGTAAAATACTCTTTAGCGAGCCGAAGAGCTGGATTCTAAGCTGTGAAGCCGAGCCTAGTCGTCTGAGCTGCGTAAACCGAAGAAGTTTCTTGCTGCAGGCGTGACATGTGACGCCATGAGGTGTGAACGTGTTTTCCAACGATAGTGTTGTTTTGTTTTGTTTTTTTTTTCCTTTACAGAATCTGTTTTTGTTTCATTCTTGAGAATGGTGTATAACTTTCAAATTTATTTCATTTTTGTGCTGGACAGTTTTCTATAAAATCTAGACTTTGATATTAAGGTTCGCGTCAATATTTTATTCTTTAATAACAACTTTAATATTTTATTGAGATGTACTCATTTATATATTAAATGTTTCCATATATTTTAGAACTTAAATGACATTTTGTAACAGTAGTACTACGCAAGCACACAACAAGGTCAATTTCAGCTTTAGGATAGTTGGAACCGTAAAATTGGGTAAAATACTCTTTAGCGAGCCGAAGAGCTGGATTCTAAGTTGCGAAGCCGAGCCTAGTCGTCTGAGCTGCGTAAACCGAAGAAGTTTCTTGCTGCAGGCGTGACATGTGACGCCATGAGGTGTGAACGTGTTTTCCAACGATAGTGTTGTTTTGTTTTGTTTTTTTTTTCCTTTACAGAATCTGTTTTTGTTTCATTCTTGAGAATGGTGTATAACTTTCAAATTTATTTCATTTTTGTGCTGGACAGTTTTCTATAAAATCTAGACTTTGATATTAAGGTTCGCGTCAATATTTTATTCTTTAATAACAACTTTAATATTTTATTGAGATGTACTCATTTATATATTAAATGTTTCCATATATTTTAGAACTTAAATGACATTTTGTAACAGTAGTACTACGCAAGCACACAACAAGGTCAATTTCAGCTTTAGGATAGTTGGAACCGTAAAATTGGGTAAAATACTCTTTAGCGAGCCGAAGAGCTGGATTCTAAGTTGCGAAGCCGAGCCTAGTCGTCTGAGCTGCGTAAACCGAAGAAGTTTCTTGCTGCAGGCGTGACATGTGACGCCATGAGGTGTGAACGTGTTTTCCAACGATAGTGTTGTTTTGTTTTGTTTTTTTTTTTTTCCTTTACAGAATCTGTTTTTGTTTCATTCTTGAGAATGGTGTATAACTTTCAAATTTATTTCATTTTTGTGCTGGAAAGTTTTCTATAAAATCTAGACTTTGATAGTAAGGTTCGCGTCAATATTTTATTCTTTAATAACAACTTTAATATTTTATTGAGATGTACTCATTTATGTATTAAATGTTTCCATATATTTTAGAACTTAAATGACATTTTGTAACAGTAGTACTACGCAAGCACACAACTTATGTAGAAAAGAAAAGATTTGATGTGAAGTAAGGGATGGATTTGTCTAAGGACTCCATGGATGAATGAGCTCGAATACCTTTGTTTTGCTATTATATAAAGAAAAACCCTTCTCATCTGCACGCCAAATGCAGTGGGAATAGTTGCATCGTTCTTCAAGCCAAATTCCCTTCTCTGGCCAAAAAATTTCGAACGAAAGCTTCCCATAATTGCTGTTAAAGTTGCACCAAAACAATGTTGTCGGTAAAACATTCTCTTTAAATTCTCAACTATATTCCTATTTGAACGGAAGAATATGCTCGCCTATATCAGAAAGTTATGTCATATGGGCACAAATTCAATTGAAAAAATGAAAAAAAAAAATTAGAACTATAAGTGCCTATATACAATTAAATAGTCAATCATTCAACCTCTACACGCCACATATTTATAAACAAAATAATAATAATAATAATAATAACCCCAACCTAAAAGAACTATCCTTGGAATTGAGATAAGAAATAAACATCCATCTAGATTCTTTTTTACATGGGATATATTATACTTTTCAGATTTGTGGAGTTTTGAAATTCCACCGTAATGGTTAAATAAAAATTTTAAAAAAAACTATCAAATCCATAAATTTAGATATACATAAAATAATATGTTCTCATTGAATATTTGTCATAGTGCAACACCCTTATTTACCTAAATCGTTGTTTTTCGATTTGCAATGGGCTAGTAAAGGTATGTCTTGATAATTAAGAATCGTCACTTTCCATTGAGAATGTGGATATTGCATTGCAAAACAAGTAAAGACGTTAGAAGGTGATGCAAAAGTAAACAACAAAATCATATAAAGATTATTCATAGCCATCATTTTTTATCAACTTAGAATTTTCGTGTTTCATTTGGATTGCTTTGAACTATATATATATATATATATATATTTATGATGATTGCACTAAAACAAAGACACCTTTTGTAAAAAGTTATTAAAAGAAAAATTAAAAAAATTGAAAGGATGTTAAGAGTGTTTGTTAGATTCAGCTTTATTTAGCAAGGAACTACACACATCCCCAAACTTAGGTTAACCGTTTTTTCTCTCCAACGGCCAATCATATACTTTTCCTAACTCCATTGAGATGTTTCATTCTCATGTTTCTTCCTAACTTTTTAAGTAAAAATAGCTTAGATTTTAAAAATTTTAAATTATTTTATGCAAAATTAGGCTTAATTAGTTTAAATTATTAGGAGTAAATTTAAATTACTTTATGCAAAATTAGGCTTAACTAGTTTAAATTCGTAGGATTAAGATTAAATTATTTTAGGCTTAACTAGTTGAGTCACATTAAATTATTTTAGGCTTAACTAGTTGAGTCAATTTCCACAGTAGAATTCTAACCGGTGATTGTTGGACTCCTTAGGCATAATTGAATTTTAGAGAGCAATGCTAAGCTAGCATGAAGGAGTCATAGTAACTTCAACCTAAGCAGACCACATAAGTGACCAATGCATGTGTCACACAATTATGCATGAGATTCACATAGTTTATTATCATGGCATAATGTATGATGCAAGACAAACATCCATTTATGTATGACATACGTCTGTGAATTATGCTTAATAATTCTCAAACATTTTGTAGTACATAGCATAGCTTTTATAGCATGGTCTAAGAAGGCTTATAAATCGTAGATTATCAATTTCATAATTATACAACATGTCATGGTCTTATGATAACATATCATAATATGGCAAGACATGGCATAACATATTTTAACATGGCATCACATAGCTTAACATGGTATAACATAGCATAATATGGCATAACATAACATAGTATCACATAGCATCATATATCATTCATATATATGACTCGTGTCGATAATAAACCCACTTACTTTGTTGGCCTAAACTAGAGTCTCTAAATATTGCTAAAGCTAGTTCGACTTCGTCCTTCAAAGTTCGTTTCAACCAAGGTGGACTCACTACATCGCATTAAGACATAATAACGAACTAAACTTGCTAAAGCTAGTTTGACGGGCTTGGGTCGCACGCGGGTTCACGGATCTGGTGGCGGGCGCCGATCTTCAAGAACTACCTGACGCAATATTTTTCGTAATTTTTACGCCTCCCATTTTTCCCGCTACTCGCGGCCTTCTCCCTTCCTGACACGCGTCCCTCCGTCGTTCATCTTCTTCCTCTCATCTCTGCGATTTTCTAGATTACGGTCAAATTCTATATCAACCTATTTATTTTAGATTTTTCTATCTTCTAAACCATAACTCAAATTAAATTGAATCCTTCCCAAGAATTCTAGATCACAAGTTGCTCTGATACCAATTTGTAGAAACTGGTATCGCTTTGATACTAGTTTATAAAGTGCGCCCACAATGCTGAAATCGCTCTAATACCAAGAACAACCAACCTGGCCATGGAAGACATAACAGATGAAGGTCTTCTTTTGATGGCTCAAGATGAAGAGAATGTCAACAACGACACTCTTTAGTACCTCGACTCAGGGGCAAGCAATCATATGTGGTCACGAGCACCTATTCAAAGAAATGCAGAAGATTGAAGATGGCCATGTGTCATTTGAGGATGCGTCGAATGTGGAAGTCAAAGGCCGAGGTACGATACACTTCTTACAATGAATGTCATGTGTGCCATAGAAGAGTCGAAGGACCTGACGAAGTTCACAGTCGATGAGCTTGCTGGTTCTCTCGAGGCACACGAGCAACGCAAGAAAAAGAAGGAAGAACCATTCGATCAAGCGCTTCAAACAAAAGCAAAAGTGTATTTTTATTGGATATGATGTAGAAGACAAGGCATCACTCTGGCATCTCCGTTTTAGTCACCTACATCATGGTGGCCTAAAAGAGTTAGCGAAGAAGAACAAGGTACATGGGCTACCAAACATGGACTTTGAAGGAAAATTTTGTGAAGAATGTGTGCTCAGCAAGCATGCAAGAACCTCAATTCATAAGAAAGCTGAATTTTGGGCTAAACAACCCCTCGAGTTGATCCATACAAATATATGTGGACCAATTAACCACGAGTCTTTCAGCGGAAAGAGGTATTTTATTTCCTTTATAGATGATTACTCATGAAAAGTTCAAAGTAATGGTGGAGAAGAAAACTGGTAGACCCATCAAAGCTGTACGATCCGATAGAGGTGGCGAGTATACATCAACAGCTTTCATGGAGTACTGCGAGGAGCAAGGCATAAAGCAATTTCTAACCGCATCGTACACCCCTCAACAAAATGGTGTGGCCAAGAGAAAGAACCGGACCATTCTCGATATGATTCGCTCAATGCTTAAGAGCAAAAGGATGCCAAAGGAATTTTGGGCAGAAGCCGTGCAATGCACATCTACGTACAGAATTGATGTCCACATGCAAAGTTAGCTGATCAAACACCACAAGAGGCTTGGAGCGAATTTGGTGAAATCGCGGTATCAGGCGAGAAAATCGAAGGAGGATGAACAACCAAAGAACAGAGAGCCCGAGCTTGAAGACAAAGAGCCTAAATGGCCGAAAAAGCAATTCGAGGTAGAAAGAAGAAAGAGGATGAAAATTGAAAAAGAAAAGAAAGAGCTTGAAACAAAAGTTCAACGGTTAGAGAAGAAAGTGACTGAGCTGAGTAAGAGTTCCTTTTGTCTAAAACAGGAGAAGGAAAAGAATGAGAAGACAATCTTCAATCTTACAAAGAAAGTTGAAGAAGTCGCGGGGAAAGAGAAAGACCTATTCATGGAAATTGAGGGTTTAGTGGACGAGCTAATACGGGAGAAAAAAGACATAGAGATACTGACTCAACAGAGAAACTCACTCAATGTGAACCTGAATCAAGTCCGACAGGAGGTAGTGAATTTACGACACACGATTGAGACACTCCCTCATGATAAAACCAAGCTAGAGGAAACAAGAATGTTAGCTATAAAGGTCGTTGTGGACTTACGAAGGAAATTGAGTAAACGGAACGAAGCCGTGATGTCTGAGTCAAGCGTAGCTGAGAACTGGAAAAATGAGGAGGTGTCACAGATGAGATGTTCTTGAGAAGATCCAAAAGAAGTCTTACTAGAGGAGGACAACCCTATTTTGCCGCTTGAAGAAAAGAAGATAAAGTTGGAGAGACCACGATTGAGCTTGAACGAAAACGGCGCACGAGGAATCATTGAGTAGGAGCATTTAAGTTTATGGGGGATTTTTGTTGAGAAATAAATTTAAATAAAGGAGAGAGAGAGAAAAAAAATGATTATGATTTTTTTGTTTGTTATGTGGTGAAAAAGACCCTTACTAAATTTGAGAGGGAAAAGGACTTCTTATGGAGGAGAGAAAAGTGAGGGCACCAAATTGAGAGGGAGAAGGGCTTAGGTGAGAGAGAAAAGTGAGGGAAGTTACTATTAAACTTAGCGTTATAAAAACTATAAAATAGGCCTTATGTATGGTTGTAAAATGTGCAGAGAGAAAAAGAACCAGCGAAGAAAAGCATAAAGCACTTTATTGTGAGTTTTTGTGTAATAACCTCTTGAGAACTTCTTTGTCTCCTTGTCTCTCCCCCCTTTCGACACTTCTTTAAAGTTTCGTGAGAGTTATCTAAACGAGTTAGATTCAGAGCGAGCATTTTATTTCGAGGTTGGTATCGAAGCGGCTTTATTTTTCAACAAATTGGTATTAGAGCATTAATTTCAACGAAGTCCACCTATCCAGATATATTTTTATTGTATTTTTTGATACTCATAGCCCTTAATAAATGAAGTCGAAAACAAAAGAAAAATTCAGTTTCTTACCAAAGTAGGACGGTTTCTCAATTTTGTTTTCCGACGCGATTTTTGGCCACGTTCCCTTTAAAAACTTACAAGACTCCTCGCCTAAAGTGTTGCAACTAGATTATTAAGGTTTAAATCATCTAAAACTCCCGAATCTATGGTGAAATCTTGAAACAAGAGAGGTCACGGACTTACCTCACGTTCTTGCCCGTTTCTTGCCGGAAACGAATGATCAAACGCTCAGACCACTCCTCTTGATACTCTGAGTAGCTCTAGTAGGAGACCTGAGATTGAGGGTGCTTCAGTTCGGGTTTGAGGCGTTTCTCCCTCTTTCTTCTTCCTCTTCTTAAAAAAAGCCCTAACAAGGTGGTATGTGTGGGGGCAAAATTATCTTTTTGCCCGCGGTTGACTTTGACCCAAATTTTGATTACATTTCCATTTTTTTTTTCTAAGTTCCTTGATGCATCCCAAGCATTTCTTTATTCTGCACCGATATGAAAATCACACTCTAAGTCCTCCAATAAAATTTAGAAACTCACAATGGTTAAGAAGGTACTAGTCACAAGGATAGTGTGAACTGTAGCTGTTGGGCTCGGGGTATTACAAATTCTCCCCTCCTTAGGAACTTTCGTCCCCGAAAGTTGGTTGTTCCTGAAAAAGTTCAGAGTAAGACTTCCTAACGTCATCCTCCCGCTCCCAGGTAGCCTCGCTATCCAAATGATTACCCCACAAGACTTTGACAAGGGGAATCTCCTTGTTTCGCAATCGCTTGACATCTCGAGATATAATTTTGATTGGGGCCTCCTCGTAAGATAGATCCTCACGAAGCAGAAGTGCTTCGTGCTCAATGATGTGCGTGGGGTCTGGCGTGTACTTTCTCAACATAGATACATTTAAAACGTTATGCACAGCGGCAAGAGTGGGTGGTCACACCAACCTGTATGCTACAACACCAATCCTCTCAAGGATTTCGAAGGGACCTATGAACCTGAGGCTGCTAAGCTTACCCCTTTTCCCTAACCTTAACACCTCTTTCATGGGTGTTACCTACAGGAAAACTTATTCGCTCATTGCAAACTCGAGATCCTTTCTTTGAGTGTCAGCGTAACTCTTTTGTCGGCTCTGTGCAGTAAGTATCCATGATCCGATTTTATGGACTGTCACGTTGGTAACCTGAACTAATTTTGGTCCCATAAGTTGTTGGGTTCCATCCTCTTCCTAAAACACTGGTGTCCGACACCTCTTCCCATATAGGACTTCAACGGAGCCATATGAGTTTTTGCTTGATAACTGTTGCTATAAGCAACTTCCATGACGGATAGGTGGTTATCCCATCAACCAGCAAAATCCAACACACACGCCTTGAGCATGTCCTCTAATACTTGATTGAACCTTTCCATCTGTCCATATGTCTGATGATGGATGGCTGTATTGAGACGAGGTTGGGTACTCGAGGCTTTCTGCAAACCCTTAAAAAAAGAACAACATGAAAGGTAAACCTAGCATCCTTATCAGACACAATGGGAGTAGGCACCCCATCCAATCGATCCACTCGAAAAGTGCTCTTAACCATAATGAAGTGAGCTATTTTTGTGTGTCTTTCAACAATGACTCAGATCACATCAAAACCACGTCGAGTCTTAGGTAGATCGGATATGAAATTCATACTCACTTTCTCTCACTTCAACTGGGTATGTTTAAGGGTTGCAGCATCTCTGCAAGGCGTTGTCTTGGGGCTTTCACCCACTTAGACGTTAGACAACGTCACACAAAGTCTGTGATGTCTTTTTTTCATTCCTAGCCACCATTAACTGTTATTCAGGTCCTTATACATTTTTGTACTACCAGGGTGAAATGTGTAGGACGTGTCGTGTGCTTCAGGCATAACCTCCTTAAGGATTTCCTTATCCCTAGGTACACACAAGGATCCCTGCCTTCAGATGAAATTAAGAACTCCTGAGCTATCTTAGCCTCTTGAGTGTCACAAACTTTGTGGAGCTTGGCATCTATAGACTTTGCATCAATGATGCATTTACGAAGTGTGGACTGTACTGTTAACTGAGCTAGTTGTGCAGTGATGTTCTTAACTATTAAATCAATCTCAGCTCTTTGGATCTCCTCTTGAAGCTTGCTCTGTTGAGTGACTAGCGCAGATGTGTGGGCTGTCTTTCTACTCAAGGTATCAGCTATCACATTAGCCTTGCTAGGATGATATAGGATCTCAACATCGTAGACTTTCACTAGCTCGAGCCACCTCCTTTGTCCTCATATTCAACTCCTTCTAGGTGAAAAGAAAATATTTAAGGTTCTTGTGGTCAGTGTACACTTAGTCTCACCATACCGATAATGCCACCATGACTTTAGTGCAAACACCATGACAGCTAGCTCCAAGTCATCGGTAGGATAATTCCACTCAAATTCCTTTAACTGTCGAACGCAATTAATTTCTCATTCTGCATAAGCACACAACTCAAGCCCTTAGTTGAGACATCACTATATACTACGAAGATTGGTGCAGTCACCAACTTCTTTTTCAACTCTGGGAAGCTCTCTTCACAATCTCAAGTCCACATAAAGGTTTTATTTTTTTATTTTTTTTTTTTTTTTTTTTTTTTTTTTTTTTTTTTTTGTGAACTGAGTCATCGCGCCTGACATTTTCAAGAAGTCTTGGACAAATCTCATGTAGTAGCCAATCAAGCCCAAAAAGCCTCTTACCTCTGTCACATTTATCAGCCTTGGCCACCACATGACAGCTTCAACCTTAGCTGGATCCACAATAATTTTCCCTCTTGAGACCACATGTCATAAAAATGCTACTTCTCATAGTCAGAATTCCCACTTAGAAAACTTGACACACAACAGAGGCATTTTCAACACAGCCGAAACCATTTGCAGGCGATCTTCATGCTATGCTTTGGTCTTAGTAGGGTCCACAGTTATTCCCTGCCTGGATACCACGTGTCCAAGGAAGGCCACCTCTTGCAATCAGAATTCGCACTTTGTGAATCTAGCATATAACAGGTAGGTTCTCAGTAGAATTAAAACTTTCCTCAGGTGTTCCTCGTGCCCCACTTCAAACTTAGAACACTTCAGGATGTCGTTAATGAACATAATCCAGAATTCCTCATTTGTTCATCGACTCCATGAATACTACTTAAGGGAATGAACTCTTCATCCACGTAGCGGAAGCATTGGGAACCGTTTTGATTTTTATTAAGAATTAAAACAAAGCAATAAATAGAAGAATAAGAACTCTACCTTTGTAGAAACTCTAGGTTGCAAGACTCATTCCAACCATGTAAAAGTTTTTCAACATTCCACGAGATCTTCCTTGCTATGACTCGAACACAAGGCCAAGGCTTGTGGGAGCCTCTTGAAAGAAAATTCAAAAGGGATCGGAGAAGAAGAGTTTCGAGAATTCTCTAGAGATGTAATTTCATTCTCCAGAGAAAGTGGGAGAGATTGATATGTCTTTGGCTCAACCTGAGGGTCCTATTTATAGGGACTCTCGGAGAATATTTGCCAAATAATATATTTACATATTTAATATATCAAGATATTATACCTTGTATAAATCATATTTAGATATTATAAGATATCCTAATATATATTTAATTAATTTGAATTTCATTCAAATTTCAAATATATTTTTATTTAATGTATCAAAATACATTAATTGATTTAATATTTAATTGTATCAAATACAATAAATATATTTTTCCTTTTTAATATATCTAATATATTAAATATTAATATGTTTTTCTCCATTTATATTTAACATATCTAATATATTAAATATTAATTTGAACACTTCAAATTAAATATATTTTCTCTATTTATTAAATATTAATTTGACATTTCAAATTAAATTTATTTTCTCCTTTATATTTAATATATCTAATATATGAAATATCAATTTGAATACTTCAAATTTTCTTTCAAATAAATTGAACCTTTTAGCGTTACTATGAACTAGCAAGGGGACTTTATGGACCTACTATAAGCTCCAATTATACAAAATTAATTAATTAAACTCTTTAATTCATTAATTTCTATTCATTAACTATAGGTCACTTCATTATAGACCTAGAGTTGCACTCTTATGCACTGTAGAACCAGTTATGTCCATCGATATAATCATTACAAGCAAGTCAATCCTTCACGAGTGGTTCATAATTACAGCTGGGTCAAAAGACCGTTTTACCCCTATAATTACATATTTCACCTTAAGTACCACTGATTCTCTAATGAACAATTTGTCTATGATCCAATCATAAACCAAGTTCC